AGGACGTTGACTTTTTGGGTATCGTTGATTGTTGTTCTAACGACACAGGTTTTGGGCTTTGGATGGGCCGGGATTTTTCGGAGGTATTTGGTGGAGCCCGCTGCTATGTGGTGGCCCCACAATCTCGTTCAGGTTTCTCTTTTCAGGTACGTGCTAAACTGCTAATCCACTCAACGTATCGTGTTGAACTTTCCAATATTTTGGGACACAACTGGAATTTTGCCACGTGGCAGTAATCACTAAGTAGTGAATCTTTGACGGTACATCTTTTGTGGGAAGAGATTCTCTAACAGTATTTGTTTTTGCCTTTGTAGAAAACTATTACTCCCTCGGTTCCATTTATGTGGCCTTGTATACAGAACATAACTAGAAAGGGGTGTCTAAATATAAGAAGGTAACACACGAAAAAAATGAGGATAGTGAACATATAGTATATATATACCTTAAAATATTAACCTAACTAAATAGTATAATTTTCCGGCATAGTGTAAGGTGGCCCTGCTATTGCTTGTGTAATCATATGTGGGATTAAAGAAAGTAAGAAAAACAATTATTACAATATCCGACCACAAATATCTCATTAAAAGTAAAATGAGAATCTTAAAGTTAATTGTTTCTATAGAAAGGTGTTCAAATTAAAAAAGAAGAAAAGCAGGAGGTTTTTGCTGGCATTTACATACTTTCCAGTAGTTCGGGACAGCAATTTAAGTTAAACATGTATTACTGAAGCCAAAAAGTTTTTCATTTTTTTTCCTTCCAAAGAAGCACTGATCTATTCCTCCTTTAATGGCTTTTATTGATGTTCTTGACCTCCTTCATGCATTAAAATATGTGGACTTTAAACACAAATTATACTGTTACAGCAGATGTGTTAGGATCGGGAACCCGGGTAGTGCGGAATTTAGCCAAACAACGGTATAATGACAATAACAAAGACAATGGAAATTGATAACAACGGCAATTAAAGCATATAAAGAAGACACAAATTTAACGTGGTTCGGTCAAAGTGACCTACGTCCACAAGCGGAGAGGAGTAATTTCACTATACCAACAAGAGTACAAAATTAGAGTAAACACTCTAATTAATTCCAAATACCCCAAGAGAATAACCTCACAAGATCACTCCAAAGAAAGGGTTCACACAAGTGCTTCCCAACACTTAACTCTCATACAAAACACTCTTAATAAAGGAAGAAAGGAAGAAACAANACAACTTGTGCAAATGATGTCAGCCACAAAATGCAATATTTTTGGGTCCCAAAGAATATTGCCAAGAAGGTCTACTTTGCAAGCATGCTTATGTATGATGGAATCCATTAGCCAAAATATTGGCCATAATTACAGGATGTAATGGATGAATAATCTTAAAGAGGTGTTCACTTCTGAATTGCAGGGCACTTCATGAAAAAGAAGAGAGAGCCAAGAATGAAATGACACGAAACCAGTTCTTCCTCATTGCCTTTTTATGTAGCTTTGCTTACTATGTATTTCCTGGTTACCTTTTCCCAATGCTAAGTTCACTTTCCTGGCTATGTTGGTTATTCCCAGCTTCTGTCCTTGCCCAACAGTTGGGTTCTGGACTTCATGGTCTTGGAATCGGGGCCATTGGACTCGACTGGTCAAGCATATCCTCTTATCTTGGAAGTCCATTAGCTAGCCCATGGTTCGCTACTGCAAACATTGCTGTTGGATATTTTCTCATAATGTATGTTGTTACACCTTTTATGTACTGGTTTAATGTCTACAAAGCCAAAACCTTTCCAATATTCTCAGATGGCCTCTTCACATCAGATGGTCAAAAATACAACATTTCAGCCATTATAGATCCGAACTTCCATATTGATTTCAATGCGTATGACCGTGAGGGCCGCCTCTATCTCAGCACTTTCTTTTCGATGACTTATGCATTCAGCTTTGCCTGCCTCAGTGCCACAGTTGTTCATGTCTTCCTCTTCCATGGACGGTAAGTTTGCAATTTTGGACAAATGATTATTTTTGCTGGTTGGATGCCTATTTTTGTGTATTGTATATCTTTGTCTTTGTCCTATTCTGTGTAGCTGAGTCTTTATGCAATGTACTTCTGTTGCAACTCGATTCACATCTAAATTGACTCTAAAGAGTAAAAAAGGAAAAGACAAATTTTTTGATGTTTCAAAAGTGCTTAGCATATAGGGTGTTATACACTTCACAACTAATATAATCACAGATATCACGAAGATAACACTTGTCGATATAGTAATCTATGTACTAAAACATTTAAATCAGAAAGAATCAGATAAGTCACTATTTGCAAGTTGTGATTAACATTAATTTGCAAACAACACGTGCGCATTCTATTGGCAAAATATCTTGTCCAAGGCAAAAGTTGAATTGACAGATTGAGATGCTAGAACACGTGATACTATATGTGATTTCAAAGGCTGCTGGCTGATGAACTGAATTGTCTATGAGAAGTTTCACCTTTTCTTTTCCACCTAGATCTGATACTCCATGTAAAGCTTAGATTTAGTGCACATGACAGCAAATATCAACTCAATCAATTTTGAAATGTAGAGATCTATGGCAGCTGAGCAAGTCAGCTTTCCAAGAGAAGAAAATGGATATTCACACAAAACTCATGAGAAAATACAAGCAAGTTCCTGAATGGTGGTTTTTAAGCATTCTTCTTGTAAATATCGCTGCAACTGTGTTTATTTGTGAATATTACAAAACGCAGCTCCAATTACCATGGTGGGGTGTCTTGCTGGCATGTGGTCTTGCTTTCTTTTTCACCCTTCCGGTTGGAGTCATCACTGCCACCACAAACCAAGTAATGTGCTATATTTTATAGCTGTTTGTAATCATACAAGCTATCTTCTATTCTTGGTCATTCTAAACTTTCAATATCTTTTTGCACAGACTCCTGGTTTGAATGTGATCACAGAGTACATAATTGGGTACTTGTACCCGGGGTATCCAGTAGCTAACATGTGCTTTAAGGTGTACGGATATATCAGCATGAAACAAGGACTAACCTTTTTACAAGACTTAAAGCTTGGACATTATATGAAGATTCCTCCTAGGGCAATGTTTATGGCTCAGGTTGGCTTTTCTTTCTTTCTGCATCTGTCAACTCATATGTGTTGGCATATGAAACAACTTAGGTACCTCGTTTAGCGAGTAGTCCTACAAACCATAAATTTTTTTATAACTGTGGTGTCCGGACCAGCTTGCGCTCACCTTGACTAATTCCACGGGATACCTGCTGTCTCCCACCAGCAGCAGGTATCAGTAACTCTGTCTACCAAAGCTTGGACATACGGGGAAATCACCTAGGGTTTTTGCCTCTATTGGGATTTGAACTTGAGATATCGTGATTCTCAATCCACTTCATTGACCACTACGCTATACCCTTGAGTGCCCTTCAAACCATAACATCTGTGCACTGTTTAATCAGGTTGTTGGAACCTTGATATCAGCTTTGGTGCATCTTGGAACAGCATGGTGGCTTATGGAAACCGTCCCAGATATTTGTGACCGGGCTTTGCTTCCTCCTGGAAGCCCGTGGACTTGCCCCGGCGATCATGTGTTTTATGATGCCTCAGTCATCTGGGGTTTGATTGGGCCGCAAAGAATTTTTGGAAATCTTGGTCACTACTCTGCCCTGAATTGGGCTTTCTTATTTGGAGCTATAGCTCCAGTCATTGTTTGGATTGCACACAAGAGTTTCCCTAACCAGCATTGGATCAGGTTAATTACAGTGCCTGTATTATTAGCCGGGATAATCAACATGCCACCAGCTACTTCTGTTAACTACAACAGTTGGATCATCATAGCTTTTATTTCTGGATTTGTTGTTTATAGATACTATCAGAAATTGTGGAGTCGTCACAATTATGTTTTATCTGGGGCATTAGACGCTGGATTAGCATTCATGGGGGTATTGTTGTATTTATGCTTGGGAATGCAGCACGTTCGCCTTGACTGGTGGGGAAGTGATGCTGATCGATGTCCCTTGGCTTCTTGTCCGACAGCTGAAGGGGTTGTGGTTAAAGGATGCCCAGTCTTTTAGGTGATCAGTGAAAAGATTATTACCATGTGTTTGATTATTCTTTTGGTGTATATGTTTGTAAATAGATGTATATGCGTAATTTTTGCATTCTTTTAAATACATTATTGTGAGGATTTGTGCAACTCTTCACACTTTTACTACAGGAATTCAGCTTCATTACAAAGTTGCAGTGCTGTGTCTCAAATTGTAGTGTAGTGTATGTTGTAATGGTCATAACATTTCCTGGTTTCCATTACACAGGTTGCATTAGGTTGTAAGGAAGTCCTAACTCAAATAAATGCCATGTATGTTTGTACTGTTAGAATTGTTGGATTTTTCTTGTTTGCATTAATGGGACTAAGTGGATGCACGTTTTTATGCATGTCTCTCATATTTGCCCATCAGTTGGGGCTTGTCAACTGATTGTTTTAGATGCTGCCAAGTGTAATTGGGTAGCCTGCACTATAAAAACGTGCATAGGGCTGTTCGAAAGGGCAGAACTTAGTCTTGTGGCAAAAGTATTAGCCAAAAACGTGTAAGTGTAATTCCTAAGGGTACGATATCATTTTGGGGTGGGGAACTAAGGTGTTCTTTGTTCTTGGCCATAAGGTTGGCTTGATTGTGTTCTTGTATTCGCATATTAATACGAGTTGGGAAGAAATTCCTATAAATTTTATGTGTGCCTTTACGTTGCTGCCTAAATTATTCTAAGTCCTAAATGTCCCTAAAAATATTCTAAGCGTTGGAAGGCTGAAGTCAAGATTGGGCCTGACTGCGGCAAAGTGGTGAACTTCGGACAGATTTCGGCTTGAAATAAATCACCCATGTGACAATGGGGATGGGGACTGAGGCGTTTTATTCTTAATATTTTTTAAATTTAAGCTTTACCTTTTTTTGCACTTGTCATGCTTCGATTGGTTAATTTGACACCTCAATCAAGTGTATCTCAGTCGTTGGGTCTACTTGATGGAAGTATTTATGCGACACACTTCTACCAAGAATAAATGTCTATTTGATCACTAGCTAAGTTGAAATGTAACTTACAAAATTGTGCAAACTTCAAGGGACTATCTAGGTATTTGACCAAAATTCAATTATATTTTAAGTGAGGTGATAATGTGATTTTTTTCTCTGATCATTTAGAATCAGGTAAAACTTAAAATACCTAGTATTGGAATTTTCAAAGACAAATACAGGAATTAGTCCTCTCCCTGTTAAACACCAACGCAGAAGTGAAAACGAGGAGCAAAATAAGGCAGCCTAGAATGTGCAAAGAAATTGAGGCGAATAGCGCGAATTCAACCACAAGTGCATCGTCTCTTCGATGGAAAATCCTTAGTCGTTCTCTTCATTCAGGTTTATTATAGCGCTTTCACTTGCATTCCCACATAATCAAAGTTTTGATTTTTATTCTGTTTTTTTTTTCCAGATAATGAATCTGAATTGGGAATTAAACGAATATCTAGAAAGGTAACCCACGGGTTTTATTTGGTACCATGTCATTTGATGAAAGACCGTTTTGAAGAAAATGTGATTTTTTTAATCAAAGGAAAATCAGCTGGACGGATCACGTGATGCTACTTTATGCTATACATTGCCTGTTCCTAATGCCCCTACACTTATTCTACAGTGAGTTTCCACTTTTAAGTTCATTTTCCTCTTCTTCGCTTCACTTATGCGTAAAGTCGGATTCAAAGTTTGAAGTTTATATTTCAAGTTAATATATAATAATAATTGGTCTCACAGTCAAATATTTGTAGATATTTAGTGAATTTCTTAATACATACACAGGGCTACTTGTTTTACGTGCACACATAATAGACAATGTAGATCAGCCCCTGGTGCCATTCATCACCTTAAATTGAATTACACACACAAAAAGAAAAAAAATAACTTTATTAAAAAACACACACATAGTTGAATAGTTCTTAAAATATTAATTTCATGTCAAATTCATACTTACTGCCAAAAAATAGTAGCTGTGCAGTGGTGTTCCACTTCAGTTACCTTGAAATTAGCATCTCTATTTTGATTGATGAATTTACATAGTCATTTTTTTTCCTTTTTTCGTTTCATGGGGGATATCTTATGGCTTTATATTTTTGCCATGTATTGCTTTGCTCTTTTCATTCTTTCACTCCTGTAAAGAAGAAAATAGCGGAAAGTACGTGAATATTTGTTTCATTTGAAAACTGGTTGATAGTGTTCGCGAATGGTTTCTAATGCTTAGAATCTGATGCAGTCAGAGAGTGGACAGTATGGCGCATCTTAATGATTTTGAGGTCTGCAACAGATATGATATTGACAACACTGGACTTGTTTGTGAGTATTTTCTGCATTGTTCCGTTTTTTCTTCTTTCGTGGAAAAGTATGTAAATTTCCCTGGTTCTACTGTAAAAGAAGCTGCTTTATCCTCATCCTCCTCCACCTTGTTGTTTTTTGATTTCTCTCCATTAAGCACCAAAGAAATAAAAGTTGATGTCTTTCAATCACGGACTGGTTGTGTTCAATATTGTGAATTCTTAGTTAAACGTGGGAATTGCTGCATCATATTCTCTAAAAGTAGTTGCATGAATTTCCACGTAGTCAGTGTTAGATGTGTATTTTATCAGTTATCACCTGTGTGCATCATATCATTTTCAATCTCGCCAGTTGGTTTACTGATTAAAAAAATATATCTCACAGCTTAGGTGAATAAACCACGGTCCAAATGCATTGGCATTTACTCTTGACCGGTATCTTACTTCAAAGACTAATCTCTTCCCTACTACCGAATGATGCGAGGGACTGAGCAATAGCTTCAGCAGAATTGCTTTTCAATATGCTGTTTTGAATGAACACAACCTATTCAACCCCTATACAAACTGATAGTGCTGATAAGCAATTTTGTGATTCTTAGGTTGGGCTTGCAGTTACTCCCTAGGTTGTTGTAAGTTTAGTAGCTAAGTTGTTTTCATTTATTAAGAATCCAATTTATAGGGAAAACATTGTGATTTTCTAGTTAGTTGGTACATTACATTATATATTAGTTTGTAGAGGATGAATGAATAAAATAATAGCTCCCAACACTTGAGTGAAATATCTTCTGCTTATCTCTGTGTTGTTTTTTCTCTGTGCATTTCAGATAGTGTTCTTTGGTTCTGAAGTTGTTAGATGCCGTTTCATCATCCATACAAATGGATAATGTATGCGAAATAATTTAAATCTTACTATTTACCATTATAAAAGGCGAATCTCGAAAGGTGTAAGTTTAAGCAGACATAAGCAATTTCAAAATCTTTTCTTGTCATCTTCTCGAAAATAGCTCAATATATTTGAAAACAGAGACAAATAGAGAGTACTACAACAACAACAACAAACCCAGTGAAATCCCACAAGTAGAGTTTGGGGAGGGTAGTGTCTACGCAGACCTTACCCCTACCTGGGAAGGTAGAGAGGCTGTTTCCGGTAGACCCTCAGCTCAATGAACGATGAAAGACAAATCAAGTGTACTGAAGAAGAGAATTAGAAAAGAGGAGATATTGCTGCAATTGTAAGCCCCGTCTGGAATGCAGCAAGTTTGAAGGAAAGATAAAAGTGCCTCGAGAATAGAAAATATTTCGGCATAAAATACTTTTGGCTCTGGTGCTTATGAAACTACTTTTTGGGACTAAAATTTAGGACAAACATAGTAGTACCAAATACAAGATGTTTTTGCTAGTACTGTTTGAAAAGAGTACTTTACTAAAGCTACAACATGCAAATTGATTCTTACTATGTTAGTTTGTATATATGGAACATAAACCACTAACTTGTTCCCATGTGAAAGTGATTAACAGAACTTTTTAGCAAGGGTCTGACAAATGCTAATATGCTATGCAGGTGTGTTCTTTGGAGCATAAAGCATATATTCTGCAAAAACTTCATTCTCCTTTTCAAATAGATGCTTTTCTCAAAATGCGTTATCTGAAATGTGATGAGACTGGAATATATATTTTTTCTCAATCAATAGATGTTGCGTGCCACGATAAAAGATAAAAAACAAAAGGCAAACATTGTGAAAAATAAGAAAATCTTCACGACATACTGCATTAATGGAATTTCTGAAAGCTAAGATCATGACTTTACATACTTGTACATAGTGATGAAGTATTTCCTTAACTGGAATTCGATGCTGTGAGATACTTTAACATTGGCTATTAGTTGTTCGTTTTGACAATAGGACTTATCCTCTAGTTATTAGCATATACAGATTAAGATTCTTTAACTCCAAACCTTTACGACTAATTTCTTCTATCTTCTGGAATGAAGTTGCTTGTAAACAATTGTTTCATCATGGAATATTTATATATACTAAAATGTGCATATATTTGTTTAGATAGCCTTATTGGTTCATCTCATGTTTGCTGTCCTTGCTACTAGTGCCCCTTCTAACTTTTGGACTCTTTCATTGAGCAGGTCAATGGCCGTCAGAGGATGTCCTTGCTCACTACTGCTTGTCACATGAGAGCATTTTCAGGTTTTAACACAAACGTTATGGTTGTACTTGAACTGATTTCAGTTGTGTATCTCTTCTGCTCTTCCAGGCAAAAAAGAGTCATTGAACTTGGATCTGGCTATGGCCTAGCTGGATTAGTTGTTGCAATGACCATGGAAGCGCTGGAAGTTTTTATATCTGATGGAAATCCCCAAGTCGTTGATTGTATCCTTTTGCTTTAGACGGTAGATAAGCACTACTATTAATTAAACAGACTTTCGGCCAATTACTGGTACAATAGGTAAAATGACATGCAACTCTGCTTCTAAGCTTCCTTTTTTTTAAACTCTATGGATTCAATATTATGCTTTTGTGAAGTGTTTTTGTAATAACCCGAAATATTATATATATGTGTTAATTGTGAGATAGGAGAATTAATTTTTATTTATGGCTATTGGGACAAACACTAAGCTAGTGGAAGGAGATTTATGATAATGTATAAGATAATATATTAAATAAGCGGCTAGTGGGCTAATTACACATTACAAATTGAGAATTAGAAGCAAGAGAATTTAGTTATTATTTAAAAGGTTAATAAGTGGGCCACAAGCCCACACCTTATGTTGTTACACGTTTAGGACTAGGGATTGAGAAGAGGGAATTTCTCATTAGGAGATATCATATAATAGTGGAAAATATTGGAGAGGACTAAGATAGACGGCAAAAAAGGGGTTAGAAGCGATCAACTACTAATGGAGGAAAAAGTTAATTACCAGGTGTGCATTATTTTCCCTACGGTAATACCTAACTTTAAATTTGCAGATAAGTATTATTATACCTTTGTAATATAGGCTAATGATTGGGGGATGAGAAAATAATTTTGCAATGCTAAGGGGTTAGTGGAATTAAAGACAAATATTAAAGTTAATAAGCTATTGAAATAAAATCGTTTGTTGATGCAGCTTTGATTTTGTTTATTTAATTTAGGAGATATAATGAATAACCAATGATGGGATTCTAATGTGGTAATGATTAATATCTTGTAAAGATCAGATAGAAGATTGGAGATTTGAAAACGAGATCTCTGTTATTTTATACTGCTACGAATTTCTGTTATTAAGTACTTGGAACACAACAATCAATCATGATGCCATGATTGAAAACAAAGATGATGGTTATAGTTAGGTGGAATAATTATATGGTAATGACTAATGATAGCCTTATGAAGGCACTGTTTCGGCAGTCTTGCCTGCTGCATTTTACCTTAATCTGCACATATTTTGATTAATTTGACCGAGGTTGACTTTAATTTAGACTTGTCCAAAAATTATGGAAATTATACACCTAGACTAATTAAGGCATGTTATTCAATATTTGGGATAGATTGAGACCATAAAGGGCTGTCTTGATGGACTTTGGCATTTCAAGAGAGGCGAAGGTTGACCTTTTTAACGTAAGCAAAACTTTAAGCTTTGGTGCTTGCTTTTTCAAAAATTGCTTTTAAATTATGTTATTTGCACGGTCTATGTGTTGGGACGAGTGTGTGCTTGATAGATTCGGTGGTCTTGACCAGCTGCGAATATACTATTTTATTTAAAATATTGAAATCATTTAATGATTGATTGGTTGTGTGGCGTGGCTTTATGCCATGGCGTTGGAGTGTTCAGTATTATTTCTTCGCTGCCGTAATATACTTTGGGCATTTTGTATGCCATTGTGATAGATTTGGAGCATATGTATGCTGCCGTAGACTCGTTGGGGTGTTTGGCTAATTTCCTCCATCGCTGAATATGACAAGTCTTTAGTGAAAATTATATGAGAAGGGGTTAGCTCTTGATGTATATTTAAATTGGACTCGTCCGATATATTATAATACATATAATCATCGTACACATTATTTTGTGCTTGTTGTTGTGTTTGTACTTTCTAACACTTATTTCAGGAATATTCAAAGAGGTGGGTCAAGGATTTTACTGGATTATATTTACATATAACTCACTTCGTACCTGCATGTCCATGCAGATACCGTTGTTGGGGGACGAGACTAGTGGCTGACGAGTTTATTCGAGCTGATTCTGTTGCTGAGGTGAGCCACCACATTGGTCGTGGAGGCTGTCACTTTAGCTTTATCTAATTTTTGCTAGTTATGTTCTTTATTTTGAGGTTTGCATGCCCGTCAGTTAAACTCATGTTGCTCTATTAGATGCTCCATGATCTTAGTGTGGATTTGGGTTAGAGATTTATTGTTTGAGTAGTCGTAGCATTTTCTATAACTCGATCATATATTTGGTTGGATAATATTTCGCATTTAATAATTATTAATGTGTTTGGAATTGCACATGTTATCTTTCAATGCGTGTTTAAATGGTTAAGTGTACGATAAACTAGTTCGCTTGGTGGGTGGTGTTAGCTGAGTGCACGTCTGGGAGTAGTTTGGGATGTGACAAAGTTGGTATAATAGCGTAGGCTTTACGTTTCGGGTCATGGACCAGTGTTTAGTAATCTTGTTCATGGGTATATAAAGGCCATATTTATGATCTTGAGGCTACTAAGCATTTATGATGTTTTCCCTTCTTCCATTCCTTGATTGTGCATTGAGATAACTTGAGTTTGACTTTTAAATATTTCTTTCATTCCTTGATTGTGCGTTGAGATAACTTGAGTTTGACTTTTAAATATTTCTTTCGTAGATGGCTAGGACACACATCCTCATCTGCTGGACGATGAAATGCATCTGCTGGACGCGGTGCTGGAAGTGGTACTACCCGTGGTAGTGGTCACGCTAGGGTTCACCAAACTAAGCTCAAACAAGAACATATGAGGCTTCTCAACCTGGAGTTATAAATGGGGCCATCCTAAGTTTTTGTGCCAAAGCAGGTGAATGAACATGTGGTTCAGGATGCTCCACTACCATTGCCAGTTGTTGTACCTACTATTTCATTACCTGTAGAAATAGTGGCGAGGTTGTTGAATGTGTTAGAGGTATTAGTGCCTACTCAGGGTGGACTTCCAGTTCCTTAGGCTACTTCACAGGTACAAGCAGGAGTTCAGCTGAATGTTGTAGCTCCTTATATACTTCAGATGACCCTTATCAGATTGTTCAGCCAGTTGCAACTATAAGTCCGTCTAAAGATCTTAAGAATTTTATGGATCTTAAGCCACTAGAGTTCGATACTACATCGGTTTCTATGGAGCCTCAAAAGTTTATTGAGCATTGTAAAAAGATACTGACTACATTAGGGCTGAAGTAGACTTGTGGCGTGGAGTTTGCTACTTTCCTATTTTCAGGATCTGTAGAGTCACGGTGCACTTCAATTTAGAGAGGTAGAAAAGTAGGGTTCCCACCTATTACTTGGTGAGAGTTTTCAAACATGTTTATGGATAAGTTCATTCCACTGAGCAAGTTGGACTACATGAGACATCATTTTGAGCAATTGCGTCAGGCCACTATGATAGTTACAGAGTATGAGGCTAAGTTCATTGAGTTAGCCAGGTATGCACACTTTTTGGTTGTAGATGAGCATAAGAAGGTGAGATGGTTCGTGGATAGACTTGAGAATCGTTATCGTGATCCTGTGGTTACAAAGTATCACATATCCTAACCACAGGACCACGATAACGATGCTCAAGTCCATCCACAAACCGTATCACCTTCTCATGCTCATTTACAACTAGAAAGTGCGCATACCTGGCTAACTTAGTGAACTTAGCCTTATACTTTGTAACAATCATAGTGCCCTAACGGACTTGCTCAACTGACATCTCATGTCGTCTTGTTTGCTTAGTGGAATGAACCTGTCCATAAACATGGCTGAAAACTCTGACCAAGCAATAGGTCGCAACCCTGCTCGTCTACCTCTCTGAACTGAAGTCCACCATGATTCTACAGATCCTGAAAATAGGAAAGTAACAAACTCCACACCACGAGTCTCCTTCTACCCCAACGTAGTCAGTATCTTTTCACAATGTTCAATAAACTTTTGAGGCCCAATAGAAGCCGATGTATCATCGAACTCCTGTGGCTTAAGATCTATAAAATTCTTTAGATCTTTAGACTGACCTATAGTTGCAACTGGCTGAACAACTTGCTGAGGGACCATTTGAGGTATCTACGGAGCTGCAACATTTAGCTGAACTTGTGTTTGTCGAGGAACTGGAAGTCTACCTTGAGTAGGCACCAATGCCTCTAACACATTCAACAACCTTGCCATTGTATTTGTGGGTAATGAAATAATAGGTACAACATTGGTGGTGGAGCATTCATATGTTCTGACACAACTTGGGGTTGTCCCCCATTCATAACTATAGGCTGAGAAGCCCCTGTGTCTTTGTTTGAGCTTAAGCTTGGTGAACCCTAGCTCGACCACCACCGCGGGTAGTACCACTCCAGCACCGCGTTCATCGTTCAACAAATGAGGATGTGTGTGTTCGAGCTATTTGCGAAAGAGATATTTAAAAGTCAAATTCAAGTCATCTCAACGCATGATCAAGGAATGAAAGAAAGGAAAACTATCTAAATGCTTCGTAGCCTCAAGATCATAAGTATGAGCCCTATATTTACCCATAAACAAGGCTTTACTAAACACTGCTCCATGACTCGGAACTTAAAGCCTATATTCTGATACCAACTTTGTTACGTCGTAAACTACTCCCAGGCGTGATTGGCACCCAGCTAACACCACCCGCCAAGTGAACCACTTTCTCATACACTTAAAGATAACACGTGCAAGTCCAAACGCATTAATAACTATTAATACGAAATATTATCCAACCAAATCCATAATAGATTTACTAAAAACCCAACGTCTACTCAAACAATAAATCTATAGCCCAAATCCCGCACTAAGACCATGGAGCATCTAACAGAGTAATATGAGCTTAATTGACGGGCATGCAAACCCCAAAATAACTAGAAAAAATTAGATAACTGAAGTGACGGTCTCCACGAACAATGCGATGGTTCATCTCAGCAACAGAATCAACCTGAACAAACTCGTCAACGACTAGTCTCGTCCCCCAACAATGGTATCTGCATGGACATGCAGGTAAGGGGTATGTTATACGTAAATATAATCCAGTAAGATCCTTGACCCGCTGCTTTAAATACTCCTGATACAAGTGTTAGAAAATACAAACACAGCAACAAACACGAAATAATATGTACACCGATTATATGTATTATAATATATCAGCTGAGTCCAATTAAAATATCAATCAAGAGCTAACCAATTCTTATACAATTTCCTTCACCTTTCTTGAAATGCCAAAGTCCACGAAGTCACCCTCGTATGGCTTCTATCCACAATTTTAGGAAAAATCTAAATCAAAGTCAATCCTCGGTCAAATTATCAAAATATGTGTAAATTAAGGTAAAATGCAGCAGTGCAAGACTGTCGAAACAGTGCCTTCAGAAGGCCATGACAATGGATTTTACCATAAATTCTCTAAAGTACTCAACCTCATCATTATCATATGATTAGTCCACTTAACTATAACCGTCATCGTAGCTTTCAATCATGGCAACATGATTGATTGCTATAATTCATGTACTTAATAACAGAAATTCGTAGTAGTGTAAAATAACAAAGATCTTGTTTCCAAATCTTCACTCTTCTATCTAATCCTTACAAGATATTAAGCATTACCTAATCATTAGAATCCAATCATTGGTTACTTATTATATCTCCTAAATTAGAAAAACAAAATCAAAGGTGCATCAACAAACAATTTTATTTCCGTTGCAGATTAGCTTTAATATTTTGTCTTTAGTTCTACTAACCTCTCATTATTGAAAATTAGTTTCTTGTACCGCAATCATTAGCCTCGTTACAAAGGTATAAGTAACTGGAAATTCAACGTTAGGTACTACTGTAGGGAAAATAATGCACACATGATAGTTGGCTTTTTCCTCCACTGGTATTTGATCGCTTCTAACCCCTTTTTTGCCGTCCGTCTTAGTCTGCTCCAATATTTTCCATTGTTCTATTCTGGCCCACTTATTAACCTTTTGTATGATAACTAAATTCAATTGCTTCTAATTTTCAATTTGTAATGTGTAATTAGCCGATTAGTCACTTATTTAGTACACTATTTTATATACTATAGTAAATCCCCTTCCACTATCTTAGTATGTCTCAAAAGCTATAAACAAAAATTAATTCTCCCAATCTCATAATTAATATGTATATAACAATATTTCGGGTTATTATAGTTTTAAAGGCAAAATTGGAGTGATCCCTAGGGCGAGCCCTGGGGCGGGGCATAGCAAAAATGCTCCGGGGAACCCTGGGGGAAAAGTATCGAAAAGCGCACATCTCACTGTCTTGGGCGTGAGGCACGTTTTTGTCGTAGGTTGTATGCCCAAAAGACTATCCAAATTAAAATGAAATTTTCTTAATAAGTTTTTAATTTAATCCTAAATACTCAATTATCTGCATGTTAAATACTCAAAAGTAAAACTATCAAAAGCTCTTTTATATGTAGCACCTAACTTATTTTATTTTTTTACTTTGTCTTCTTCTACCCAAGGTGAAACAAACAGTTCTTTTCAAACTACAAAAGTATACTTATGTAATTTTTGCTGTTTGTCAAGATTGGATTACTGTTGAGAAGTTGCTTCCTACTGAGCCAAAGAATTGCAAGATGATTGAGGTTAAATGTGTATGAAATGGAGCGGATAGTCTGTTTTCTTGACATAGAAATTGAAAGTGCTCTGTTTTGATGATTGATGGTGTGATAAAATAAAAATAGTTTAGATCTAGGACTAGGAGTACTAATCGTTTGCGTTTCTTCTCATTTGTTGCTATATTTCCATGTTTTTTTGAAGTATTATGAGTGCAACATGAGAACCTCTATGTTGCTTGTAGTAGGCATGATATTAGTTGTTTCTTGTTAATGCATACATCTTCCACTTGTTTATAATTTCTAGGTAGTTTTACCCTTTTAAAAATAATTTTTTGAATTATATTATTTGAAAAATATTAAAAATTAAAAGTTCCATGGGGCTTACGCCTAGCACCTCGAGGCTTACGCCTCGTCCCATGACATGTAAAACGCCTCGCCTTGCGCCCACGCCTTTTAAAACATTGCTCGTATGTTGGGGCCCTTGCTTTTTATTTCCTGGGAACCAACCTATATCAGTTAGGATAAATAAGTACATAGGTTGGTGATTGCTGAACCATGCCTTTTATGTACGAAGTAATCAGACTTCATTGGCCTAATAAACTTGTCTGCCCAAATCATCATCCCTCATTACAGGTCTGATGTTTTCCAATTGCTGTATTGACAATGCAATTAACTATTTGTGGCTCTATATATGCACCTAATTTATAGTTGTGCTTGAGGGATATCAGGCAATAAATTTCTGCTTGATCTAAGTGGAAAAAGTGAGTGTTTTGTTGATTTTTACTTTACTGATGATGCCACTTGATTTTTACTTGTCAACTCCAATAGTAACCTAATAATTGGGTGGTTTGTCATTCAGTGATAGAGTATGTTGAAGAATGTAGTATTTGCTAAGGCCTTGTCTTTTTCACGTCTCCATGAACCTGGATACCTAATGCATACTTTTCTTTAGTCTCAGATATAGATTGGTGACCATGCAGTGAATCAAATTTATCACTAACCCTTCTAGGAATTGTCAGTCTTCATTTGCTTTCAATTAAACAACAGTGGTTAATGTCCAATCTTCTTTGCTATCTCAATTGGTTTAAACAATAATCTGTGCCTGTGAAACATTGCCTAACATGTCAACCTTAATTAGTGGTTCAATTGCTTCGCAGAAATCTCTTTTCTTTACTTCATATGTACTTAACATTCTGGTAGTACAGAGGTGAAGCCATTGATGCTACACTGGGGCCAGGATCAAGTCTCTGATATCTCCAACAGATTCAACATCATCATTGCAAGTGACTGGTAGTTTTATCTCTTTTCTCACTGAATTTTTTTTGTCCCTCATTGAGAATTCTGCTTAAAGTTGTAACTCAAGTGCATTATTTCTTTGTTTTAACACAATGACTAAACAATGTTAACCAGAAAATAAGCCCTATGTTTTACACCGAAATTGTATAATGATCGTGCTGGCTGCCAATCATTTTCCACAATATTCTGTACTTCGATTTTGTTTAGATAACTTTACTGAAGATTTATAGAGTTATATGGTATCTGATCAGAGAGAACTCCTTGTTGGCATCTAGCTGTGATGAGATGGGAGTTCCTTTCTTGTCTTTATTGAAAGCAGTTTTTCATGGGCACATGAGAGAACTCAACGGGCAGCTTTTTCCTTTCTGTACATTAAAGATATTCTCCTTTATGTTGGCGTCATTTATGTGTTGGCAGCACTTTCTTCAAAGAATTCCACGCAGCACTTGTCAGAACTATCAAATCATTGTTAAAAAAGGAGGGTCCATCTGAAGCCATACTTTTCTGCCCCAATAGAGGTGATTCATTGGACAAGTTTCTCCTAGAAGTAAAAAATAGTGGGTTGCATTTCCAGGCAGATGAAATCTTAGATGCAGAAGTTTGGAGACGCCATCAACATTTTGTTGATGGTGATGATTCCTGGCCTAATTATGAGATGGATCATTGCTATCCTTTATTGATCAGAATTATGAGGTGAAGATCTGCAGTGCAGGTTTACTGTGTCCGGCATGCTTTTTTTGTGCATATTACGGTAACTCAAATCTCTCTATACTACGACATATGAACTGATTCCACTTTGGAGAAGTTACTGATATTACCATGTTTCAAAATTTTCATGTTTGTCTTGGCCGATGGCCCCTCCTAGAGTTCAGAAGTAGTTCAACTGCAAAAATCAATCTATTGGTGGTTTTCCTCAAGAGTAATCTTCGTTTTATTCGACACATTGAGGACAATTGAATTTCACTTGTTACACAACTAGTAGTTAATATCTGAGGATTAGCTAAAAAAAACGGATCACTTGCATCAGCAGATAACCTGATGTCAAGAGTGAGTCTATTTTGTTAGTTCTGAAAAGTCGCAGATTATCAAGTTGCCTTAGCTTGTTAAAATCAGTTGTTTGTTGTTGTAGCATCTGCTAATCTCGGTAAATTTGTGGAGGATTTTGTAAATCGTAAATCAAGGTACTTCCAGATTATAATCCAGAAACAGAAACGTCTCTCTCTTTGTTCAGCTTTCTTATCGTTCTGCAATCCTGAAAATGAATGTGCAGTTAGATTCCAGAGCCTGAACTAGTTAGGATCAAGTTGAATAACGATCCTTGAGAGTGTTTGCTCGCGTGTAGAGTCAGTCATCTTTCTCTTTACATTAGATAGGGAAATGGTCACAACAGTCCACTGATGAAACCTTGTAGTTCTTGGTGTGTTATCTATAGAAAAGCTGAAAAATGTAGTGCTGTTGAAACATAATAGAGCAGCTGTCTTATCTAGCTTGGGTCCTCATCTTAAAGGGAAAGAAGACACTTTCTCACTCTTTTCTTGACAAGGTGAGCACCCAAAGTTGGCTAAAGATGTTTCCTGCAAAGATGATAGCTTTTAAGGGGTTGTTTGGTTGGGAAACAAGGTATCCCATGATTAATTATTCGGGATTAGTTATCCCACCTTCCCATAGGGATAAAAAAACACTACAATCCTGGAATAACTAATCGGAATTAGTTATACCACGATTTTATCCCAACGAAACGAAACTCATCTCATATTTAATTCCGGGATTATAATTCCGATTTTCAGGATTAATTATCCCTTATCCCTCGTATCTGTAACGACCCGACTGGTCGTTTTGAGCAATTTTGTCCGGTTTGGCAGTTTGAGGTCACGAGTAGCTTCATATTATGTGTATCGACTTGCGTGCGCAGTCCGGGCATGAAACCAGAAAGCTTTTATGTGAAAATATGAAAAAAAAAAATAGTAATTTTTAGAGTTAAAATTTGGTTTTTAGTTGACTTTGGTCAACATTTTTGGTAAACAAACCCGGATCTGTGTTCTGACAATCCCGAAAGGTCCGTGGTAAAATATGGGACTTGAACGTATGCCCGGAATTGAATTCCAAGGTCCCTAGCCTTAGAAAATAATTTTTGAAGAAAATTGTTGTGCTAGTTTTTAAAGAAAATAAAGAAATGAATTAATGTTTGAACTCGTTGGTATCGGGCCCGTATTTTGGTTCCGGATCCCGGTACAAGTTTGTTATGATATTTAAGTCCTATCTGTAAAATTTCGTGAAAACCGGAATTGATTTGACGTGATTTGAACGTTCGGTTGAAAAGTTAGAAAATCATGAGTCTTGAGGTTAAATTCATAGTTTTTGATGTTATTTTGATGATTTGATTGCACGAGCAAGTTCGTATGATGTTTTTAGACTTGCGTGCATGTTTGGTTTGGAACCCCGAGGGCTTGGGTGAGTTTCAGATAGGTTTAGGCTATGTTGCGCTTGTTTTTGGATGCTTCATCGTCGTTTCTTCAAGCAAAAATAATACCATATTGTGCAATGAGATCCAAATTCAGTTTTGTTTGAACCATTAGATCCGTATCAAAATTACGAAGCCATAGGAAAAAGAATCATCGAATTTGGACATTGTATGAGGAAGTTATGCTCATTTTCGTGTCAAGAAAAATTGCTGGTTCTAGTGTGGTCGCAAATGCAAACTTTTTATCGCATTTGCGATGCCCAGTTCGCAAATGCGAGATTTTTGCCGTAAATGCGACTTCTGCCAGCCCTGTGTTGTTCGTAATTGCGAGGGGTTCGCAAATGCGAACCCTGGGTCACAAATGCGACATCTGAGGTCTGTTAAGTGAGGTTTTTGACGAGATTTTCACCCATTTTTTAATTTTCTCAAACCCTAAACCTCCATGGACGATTTTCCAAGGACCCAAACTTTACCAAATCATTGGGTAAGTGTCTCTAATCAATTTCCAACTATATTTTGTGATTATATCTTAGATTTAACATCAAATTAATGAGAATCTAAAGGAAAATTTGGGGAAAAATTGTGAAATCTTTCAAAAATGTAAAATGATGATTTGAATTATCAAATGGTATCAGAGTTAGATAATTTTTGTATGAGTGAACTCGTAGCGGAATGGGTGTTCGATTTTGTAAATTTTGTCGGGTTTTGAGGTGCGGGCCCGGGGAGTTGACTTTTTGCAAATTGTATAAGAATTATAGTTTTGTCAATTGAAATTGTTTTCTCTTGCATTGTTTGATGTATTTAAGTCGTTTTTGGCTAGATTGAGCCGAGCGTTGATAAATTAGTAAAGGAAAAGCTAAATTGAGTATTGAATTGGCCGGATTGAGGTAAGTATCTTGCCTAACCTTGTGTGGAGGACTTCTCCTTAGGATTTGAGTCTTCTATGCTAATTGTAGTCAGTGCATGCGAGGTGACGAGTGGGTGCTCGGACTTATTTGCGAGAAATTTGCTCTAGGGTTCTTAGGTCCTTATGTTCATTATGTGAAAAGTAGCCCGTTATAATTGGTTTTCCTAAATGCTTAAATTGCCTCTCTGTGCTCCATATGACGTTATTAGCTTTCCTTTAATTCTACGTATTACATTGACCCTTAATTGTCTTAATTGAAGTGATTGCCTTCCTTATTTTCTTGATACTCCTTGATTGTAAGTTCCTCTATGACTTCGTGCAAATATGTTACATGTCCAATTGTTGTGGTTATCGGTGTAGATATCACGTGCTTATTATGTCTTGTTGTTTTGTTGAGGTCATCGTGCTTCTTGGTTTTTCCGTGACCCTTATTATGTATTGTTGACTCCCTTGCCGGGATGTTATTATTTCTATTGTTGATTCCCTTGCCGGGACGTTATTGTTTCTATTGTTGACTCCCTTGTCGGGATGTTATTGTTGATTCCCTTGCCGGGACGTTATTATTTCTATTGTTGACTCCCTTGCCGGGATGTTATTGTTGATTCCCTTGCCGGGACGTTATTATTTCTATTGTTGACTCCCTTGCCGGGATGTTATGGTTTCTATCGTTGATTCCCTTGCCGGGATGTTATTGTTTCTATTGATTGATTCATTTGCCGGGATGTTGTTGTTTCTACTATTTGGGTGAGGAAGAGTGATAAAGCACGAAGGGTGATGCCATGGACATGTACATTTATATTGATATGGACTGTAGTGCGGGATGCCAAGAGATCCCACCACATATATTGAGGATACTAAGAGATACTCGGGATACCAAGAGATCCCCGACACATATATTGAGGATACCAAGAGATCCCCGACACATATATTGAGGATACTAAGAGATTCTCGGGATACCAAGAGATTCCCAGCATATATATTGAGGATACTAAGAGATCCTCGGGATACCAAGAGATCCCCAGCACATATATTGAGGATACCAAGAGATCCCCAACACATATATTGAGGATACTAAGAGATCCTCGGGAAACCAAGAGATCCTTAGCACATATATTGAGGATACCAAAGGATCCTCGGGATACCAAGAGATCCCCAGCACACATATTGAGGATACTAAGAGATCCTCGGATACTGAGAGATCCCCGATTGTTATCTCTGTATTGAGCTGTATTCCTTTTGTGATTATTTTGTCTCTACTATAGCCGTTGTTATTCTTATTATCCTGTATTACTTCATACTGCTAGCATTTAATTATATTAAACAACTTCAACTTTTCTCGCTGGTTTTTCATAATTAGTTTAGAAATTGTAATTTACTTTATATTATGTAAATGAGATTTCTTGAACATCTTGAGTGCATTTATACAGACATTATGTAATGTATAACATGTGGATTTTGTTGTTAAAAGTGAGATGGGAAAATATGCGGGCACAAGGTGCCATGTGTGCTGAAGGTTCGGAAGTTGAGATTATGATATGAGAAATCGAGGGTTGAGATGGTCGGGATTGTGTACTAGTCATGATGTGATTGGTTGTGTTGACATTGCCTTCTTCATTTGAGAACATTCTTACTTGTCTTTGTTCCTATTATGCCAGTGTTGATTTGCTTGGTTATCGTTAGTTATTACCTGTGTTCTCCCTTTATTGTTCCTACTGTTTGTATTTTGATTTCTCTCCGCTGTTGGTATTACCTCGTTATTTTTATCTCGATATTTTATTATCCCATCCTATTCATTTCATTTGACCAGTAGGTGTCTTGACTGTTCCTCGTCACTACCCAACTGAGGTTAGTCTTGATACTTACTGGGTATCGCCGTGGTGTGCTCATACTACACTTCTGTACATTTTTATGTATAGATCCAGGTATTTGGTCGATAGTAGTTGTGCGGGTCGTTGCGGTGAAGACACAAGGTAAACCTGTTGCAGCGTTCGCAGGTCTCGGAGTCACCTTCAGTTGTACTTATTTTCATATGTTCCTTTTGTTTCGGAATAGTGACGTATTTATTTTGTATAACTACTCTTAGAAAGGCTTATGACTTGTACAACAGGTTTTGGGAATTGCAATTTGTTCAGAGTAATTTAATTTAAAGTTAGTAAATATCCATGTTATTACAGAAAATGTTAGACTTACCTAGTTTAGAAAGTAGGTGTCATCACGAGGAATTTTGGGGTCATGACAGCATCAAGCGAGCCTAAGGGACATCAGAGCTGTTGTCCAATTGTTACATCCTGAAAGATGCATTATTTCACAAAAATTATGGAGGAAAAGGCCTGTAGTCTATTTATTCCATTGGCCGTAGAATTTTTCCTAAGCATGTCTAGATAGTATATTGGAACAATATTTTAAAAGGCGGGGGCGTGAGACGAGACATTTTACCTATAACGAGGCGAGGCGTAATCCCTGAGACATGGGGCGTAAGTCCCACAGATCTTTAAATTTTACTAATTTCAAGAATTTTAAGATAGTATAAAATAAAAAATAATTATAAAAATTACATTAAAATCACAAAATTATACCAAATAATCTATTTAAAATATTTATAAATTATAATTCAACTATGCATAATACGAAAAGTATGACATATATCATAATATGCAAATTAGCTGCAACGTCGTTACAAGTCAAGCATCAAAAGTAATGTATTTGATACGAAATCCTATATGTATCTCTTAAGAAGTAAT